TCGGCAGAGTTTTCATTATTTCGCACAAAGCGTTGTTCCAGACACGCACACACACTCAGATGTCAGCCCAAGGACATGCCCCCACTTACAGACGCACCTTGGGAATGTTCTGTCCCCGCTTCCCTCCCTTCTGCGGGCAGGTGGGCGAGAGCCGGTCTCAGGGATGGACGCAGGTCCCTGTCCTCCGGGGGCACCGACCAGAGGCAGGCTCCGACCTCCAGACAGGCAGCTGCCCGGCCAAGACAGAGCCGCGGGCGCGAGGACGCGAGCTAAAAATGAAGCCGTGAGTCATTATGGAAGCTGTGTCCTGGGCAGGGACGGCTGTGGCTCACGCAGGGGACGCAGCTAGGGTGCTGGGGACAATCTGATTCTCCCCTTGGGCTGGGCAGGGAGGGGTATCCTCTGGCCAGACCCCAGACCCGGGCCCTGCCGGGGACACAGGATCCCAAAGTCACAGTCATGCAGCATTGGGCCCTGAAAGAAGGACACATCTCTTTGCAGCCCACACCCTTGGGGGCAGTTAAGGAAGAGCTGTCAAGAGCTTATGATGAAAAACCAACCCCTGCCCTCCTCTCTGGGCCTCCTTGGAACTCCACTCAGAGTCGCCCCAGTCTCCCTTCAAATGCTAAATAACGTGGGCTTACTGCCAGCCCGGATTCCCTAAAGGAAGACAGAATCTGTGGGCTCTCCATGGAGAAGAGAAAGATTTTGCTCACATTTTACCCCCTTCTCTTCTCCTCCTAAGGTTAAAAACAAATACACATGCACATACATGTGTGTCTGGGTCTGTGTGTGTGCGCACGCGCGCGTGTGTGCTGTATACAACTGCGTTGTGTGTGCACACATTTGTGTGTATACGTATGTGTCCTTCGTCTACTGATTGCCTCCGTCTCTTCAATCAGGCGAGGAGATGCCGTGATTGAGAGCGAGGCTGGCCACGAAGCCTGCAGATTTTCACCGGCGTCGTGCCGAGGGCACAGCCCGAGTCTGGCCGTCCTAGAAGCCTACACCAGCCGTATTTAATCCCAGGAGGGTCAATCCTCATTCAATCTCTTTATTTAAGCTCCGCTTTCTGGAGCGGACACGGAGGCACAGACAGGGCATTGCCAATTGCCCAGGTCACACAGCCGGGAAGTGTAAGAGTTAGGGCGGGGCCCTGCTGTGTGAGTTCGGGTGAAACAGTTACCCTCTCTGAGCTTCCCTCTTGTCGTCTCTGAAAGTGATGCAACTCTCCAGTCTTTCCAGATCACGGCAGCAAGACAAGTCTGATGAAACCAACCAGCCAGCACCTCCCCAGGGACTGCTGTGTGGGTGACCAGGATCTGCCCGGGGGTGGGGGGGTTGAGTCGGTACTATCCATTCCCTAGACTTGCTTGGTCTGGTGCACACAGCCCCCCAGGGGACAGGAGTGCCCAGCCTTGTCCTCAAGTCACTTTCAGGGCCGTTGGCAAGAGCGGGAAGTGATCTGTAAACAATCACCGTGTCACTTGAGTGAGATCTTTGCTTTCAACTCAGCCTGGGCTTTTGGGGTCTTTGGCGTGACTGTCTAAACGGGGCTTGTTGGCTTCGGAATGGCCTCTGCTGGTCACAGACCTGCCTTATCGTCAGGCATTAGAACCTCTGTCCTCCTGTTTCACTATTTCATGATACTTTGGAACCCACGGACAGCCTTCCCCCGCCTTCCCCCACATCCATCCTCGCAGCCTCCAATCTGGCTTCCTACTGAGCAGCTGTGTGACCTCTGGCAAGTCGCTTAACCTCTCTGAGCCTCCCTGGCTGGATCTGCTTTATTTTAAAATAGAAGGGATCCATACCCATTTGGGGCATCAAGGTAGTTTGCAGGGTTCAAGGGCAAGACAATAACATGTGCAGAGGCCTTTGTAAGCTGTCCGTGAATGAAGGGCCCTACCTCCATGAATGTTCTCCAAAGCTGCTTAGAACAAGTGGCCAACGGCTCTCAGTGAAAAAGCCTTTATTCCTGCGTGCCCTTCCCCTTAATCCTCTGGCATTTCTCGGAGCAGTGAGCTTCCTTCTCACAAAGCGGCCCCGGGGACGTCCCCCTGAGGCTGGGATGCCGGGATGCTGGGTGAGTCCCCAGAGCTGGCGATCACCCCACCACGTGCTCTTAAACGCTGGTGACCTCACAAGGTCCTGGATGAATGGGTTCCGCGGTGAGGGGAGCGGTATGGGGGCCCATCCTTTTCTCTAGCATGGAACACACACTTAGGACCCCTTGTCGTGTACCCCAATACCTCTTTTCTATTAAATATCTACTTTTGCCTATTAAATATCCAATCTCTCTGTCTCTCTCCTCTCCTATCTTTGATCTAACTTTGGAAGCAATTTGGATCAGATCATTCCTAAAACCCACTTCAAAACCTCTGCAGATTCCCGATCTCCTGTAGATGAAGTCCAAAAGCCTTAGCAACACACACCCATCTCCGAAAACCCGCCTCCTCCTGCCCCTGCCTCCGCCTACAGGCCCTGGCCCAGAGCATATGCTTAGATCCTGAAAGACCACCCTTTCTTGTTCCTCTGGCTTCCCGGTAGTCGCACAGGAAAGGTTCAAGCACCCTGTCCTCTCGAGCTGTGCCAGGATATCCACCCATCCACCCCCCTGGCCCCTGGCTCAAGCTAACTTATGGATATTTTGACCTTTCTTCCCCTCTTTGACATTTGTAGACCATCTGGCTCTGTGCGAACTAGAAGCTTCTACAGTACAAGCTTTCAGTCGACGGGCAGCCCCCCCTCCCAGCCTGCAGTAGTGGATCCGATGAGGTCAGAGGTCATGGTCACCAGGGTCATCTGTGTGGGCCACTAAATGGGTGTTTGACATTTGGAGCACGGGCAAGTTTTTCCTGCCCCTGGATGTACACACATCTCCAACATTATTCCACACAACAGAGTCCATTTCAGGGGAGGCTGCGTGTGCAGGTGCAGGGAAACTTCCGGAACCTACGTGGGCATCGTCATCGAGTTTACTCCTGGTGAATGTAAATGACACAAGGGGGCCAGGATCAGGGTAAGGGGAGCGAGGCACTCGCCGACGACACAAAATATGTGGAAATGTTCCACGTGTGGAAATCACGACAAATACGATTTTCCTTTTTGAAGGTCATGTTGATGGTCAAAACGGACGCAGAAAATTCAACATGAGCAAAATCTCAAAATATAAAAAAAAAGTCAGGAGGACCCTTCCATTGTGCAACACAGCCCACGTGCCTCTACCCTAACACCCCCCGGGAGTGGCCAAGCCAAGGGGGCAGCTGAAGCAAGCCCTCTCCTGTGGGCATGTGGGGAGAAGGTGACTTTTACTGTGTCCATGTTCCAGAAAGCTCAGCCTCCCTCTTTGGCCCTATGAGAGGACAGCAGTCGCCCTCACACCCACTTCTGCTCAAGTGGCCCCTGGAAGGCCCGTCTTGTCTACTAAGATTTGAAGAAAATGGAGTCCATTCAGTTTTTTGTGTTTTGTTTTGTTTTCCTTCCAGAATGTTCCAGATGTTCAAACCTCTGGTTAAGTCTGTTTGGGCAGCAGACTCCCCATGCCCTTCCCGGTTGATATGGAAATGGGTTGTCAATTCACCTGATAACAGGTCCCTCAATGTTTCCCAGCACTTCAGGAAGCTGCCTGGGCCCTTCTGGAACTCCCTCACAGTTCTCTAACTGCAGCGGGTGGGCCTGCGTCCCCGTGGTCCCGGACGTCTCCCCAACCTGCGAGTAAATTCTGTCTCCAGCTCTCAGCTTGACAGTCGAGGTCTCATCTTAAAATGTCACCTCAGAGCCGCCGTCCCTGGACACCAGAGCCATAAATCATCCCCAGCTCTACTTGCTTGCAGGGCCTTATGAATTCCCCCATCAAACCCACCCCCCTCTGCCCCCTGGTGTGTTCACCACCCCCTCCCCAAACAGGGTGCCCCAGGGCCAGGCTGTCCCCTGCCAGGGTTCAGGGTGCTGTAGGGCCCTGATCACCTTGACCTGATCAACATGCTTTAAGGAAGATGAACTGCAGAGACGTCTGTCCACACCCTCCTTCTGTCCCCTGCTCCCTCCAGCCTCCCTCCCACTCCTGCCTGTTTCAAAGCAACCTGTGGGCGCTCTGGGTGCTGGGGAGCAGTATGGGAGTGTCTAGGTGAGTGGGTGGGTAGATGGGAAAATGGAAGCAAAGAGGTGCTTCTAGTCACCTGAAGACAAGGAGGCAAGTGCCCGCCCTTCTCCCTTGGGAGGAAGGAAAAGACAGGGGACCGGGACGCTTGTGATTGAGAAAGAACGTGCTGGGAGGAAATGAGGAAACGGACAGATGCAGACAGGATTCCTGGAAGGGTTTCTTGTCTCCCCTACTTGCCCCCAGCCCCATTTCCACCCCCTGCTTTCTACCCCCAAAGCCAGATAATCAGATGGTGGAGACCCGGGTACGCAGGGCCTAAACTAAGGGTGTGCGTTCTGTTTGGAAAGAGGGCAGCCCAGGAGCAGGTCTTGAAGCCGCGGGGGGCACTCGGGCACCTCGTTTCCCTTCCCTCCTAAGTCCCAGATCTTCTAAAACAGAGGTCTCTAAAGATTGCTGCATTGTGGCTTCAGCGAGGTGGAGAAAACCTTGGGTGGCCACAGCCAACATTACTACCGCCAGCACTCGGGGTGCCCCGGGGAACCCCCAAGCACCGGGGTGTGTCGGGGCGCACGGAAAGCCGCTAGCCCGGCCGGGCGGCGGTGCCGTCCCTGCGCGGCGGCGGGAGGGCGGGCGGAGGCCGGACCGGGGCGGGTGCCCACCGCGGGCCGGGCGGGGTGGGCCGGGGGAGGGAAGGAGGAGGAGGAGGAGGCGCCTAGAAAAGGAGGCGCGGGCCGGGAAGGTGCGGAGAGGGCCGGCGGCGGAGCGCGGAGGCGAGGCCGGGCGGGCGGGCGCGCGGCGGGGCGGGCGGGGGCGCAGGCGGCGGCGCGCACGAGCGGCCGGGCGCGGGGGAGCCGGGGGGCCGGGGCGCGGGGGTTGGAGGGGGGCGCCGGGCCAGACGCGCCGCCGCTGGGCTCTGCCCGCGGGTCCCGGGCGCGCAGCCCTCGGCCCGCCGCCCGGCCCGGGCCCCGGAGCGCGGTGGAGGAGCCCCCCGAGGAGCCGGGGGCCCGCGCCCCGCGCCCCCCAGACATGGTGGGCCACCTGCATCTGCAGGGCATGGAGGAGAGCCTCAAAGAGAAGAGCCGGGAGGGCTTGCTGGACAGCCCCGACTCCGGGCTGCCCCCCAGCCCCAGCCCCAGCCCGCCCTTCTACTCGCTGGCGCCCGGCATCCTCGACGCCCGAGCGGGGGGCGCCGGCGCCTCCTCGGAGCCCCCGGGACCCGGCGAGGCCAGAGCGGTAAGCGCGCGCCTTCACGCACAACCCGATCCGGGCAGGCTAGGGGCGAGGGGCCGCTCTCGCCGCGCCCCCAGACGCGGACCCTCGGAAGCAAGGACGGGGTCCCCCCACCCCGCACCCCCGGTTCCAGCCCAGAAGGGGTCCCGGCGACAGCGGTGCTCCGCGGGTGGGTCGGGGACACGAAGGTGGAGATGGTCCGGCCTGACCCCGGGACCTGGAGGCGTCTCCCCAATGGTGGGCCTCTCTGCGGGGTGATCGTCTTGCTGTCAGCTCTGGAGGGCTGGGGGGTGAGGAACACGTCCAGGATCCCCAGGGAAGTTGGCTGCAGGCTCGGTGGGCTTGAACCCCAGGCCGTAGCATGCTGCAGACAGCCTTAGCCAGGTCCCTTCTGCTCCTGATCCAGGTCCCTGTTTACTGTTCCCAGCGCTGCCAGCGTGAAAGCCCTTTTTTTTTTTTTTTTTTTTTTAAAACCAAACCCAGACACTAACCCTTCCTTCTCTGGTTGTTGAGGGGTGTTGACGTGGAGCTGAGGCGGGCCTGGGGGAGGCCGGAACCCCAGGGCAGGAGACTCGAGTGCTCTCTCCCCCATGGACTTAGTGTGGGGCCTCCAGGTGGATTTGGGTGGGCACCCAGCCTGGCCGCGGAGCCAGGGTGGCCCATGGCCCGGAGCGGGGTGCAAAGTGGGCGGGACCCAGCACCTTTGCCACTTGAGAAATGACAAGATGAAATCGGGAAGTCACTTAGGATCCCAGTGGCATTTCCCCCCGCCCCGTCCCTGCCTGCTCTCTGCACGCCTTACATCTTGCTTGCCAAGTGTATGTGCTGGCTCAGCTCCAGCCCAGCTCCGCTTTCCTGGGGCCCCCCGTGATGCTCGCCCTGCACCTCGCAGGGCACAAAATGCCTCCCCCCGGCCCAGCTGAAAATCCTCCCGACAGCAGGAAGGAATGCTGGCCTTGCCTCAAGACTCACGACATGAATTTCCCTTGTGCCTCCCTTGCTCCCTAGTCTGGTGAGTCCCAAACTTGATCGGGCCTTGGCATCTCTCAGAGATGTCTTTGAACAATACCCAGGCCTACCTCCCGGGATCCCTGCGTGTTTCCTTGGTAGAGACCGTGCCCCGAGCGCCAGGATTTTATAAAACCTCCCCAGATGATGCTGGTGGGCAGCTCAGTTTGGGAACTATTATCCCAGACCGAAATCACGTGTCGAATTTGAGCGTTGGACTGGGGGAGGGGGTGGGGTGAGGGGGCGTTGAGGACTCTCGCAGGGGTGACAGAGGCTGATTGCAGGAAAATCGATCCTATGGTATGAACCTGCCAGCTTTCCTGCACGAGGGGCTCGTACTCGGCTGGGCTGCTTGGAAGGTGTTTGGGCTCGCATGCACTGGGAGTTAACCTGGTGTCCAACAGGACAGGACTTAGAAAGGGACAGGGAGCAGGCTTCCTCTTTATTTTTTTGGATGACCTAGAGTCCTCCTTAAAGAGGGTTTTCTAGAAGCTTTCTCTGGCAGCCAGGACAGCCAGGGGCAGTCATAAGGACCGTGCGCCTGGCTTCCTTGTCTTGGCTGTTCTGGTTGATTTTATTTCATTTTTCCCCTTCCTTGCTAAACTAGCCGCCCGGTATGGAACAGCGCTGTCCCTGATCTTTTAATTCGGCTTGAAGGCAAAACCTGGGGCTATTTCTGCACAGGTAGTGCCTCAGCTTTTAGATAGTCGTTACCCCAGGCCAGAAACTCTCCTAACCCTTTGACGAGCCATACATTGGCTCGTTTGCTTTCCACGAATAGCCCAATGAAGTAAGCACCCTCATTACCCCCATTTTCCAGAGGGCCAAACTGAGGCAGGGGTTAGCAACTTACCCAAGGTCACCCAGTTTTTGGTAAGTCGCCTTGCTGGGATGGAACCCAGGGAATCTGGATATGGAATCCTTCTTTTTTTTTTTAAAGATTTTATTTATTTATTTGACAGAGATCACAAGTAGGCAGAGGCAGGAAGAGGGAGAGGGGGAAGCAGACTCCCTGCCCAATGCGGGGCTCGATCCCATTACCCTGAGATCATGACCTGAGCCAAAGGCAGAGGCTTAACCCACTGAGCCACCCAGGCACCCCTGGATCTGGAATCTTTACACTTAAACCTTCTGTTACCCTACTTTTCACTCTTTAGCTTATTAACGACCTTGTGTGGCTTTCTTCTTTTTTTTTTTTTAAGTCAAAAAACAAAATGCCTGGGGACCTATGAAGCTTTGAGATGCTGCTTTTGATAAAAAGAGAGGAAGTGGTTACCCCGGGCAACCTCTTCGCGGCCCCAGGAACCTGCCGCTGGGCTCCTGCTCCCTAACCCACAGGGCACACCACCGCCGGTGAACTCCTGCTGTTTCACAGCACCCTTCCCTAAACAGCACCCTCTCGCTGCCGACACAGAGAACGCTTTCCAGGCGCGGACATGGGCCGGTTCCCTGCCTATCTTGCATGGCTCTGAGGACACGGACGGAAACCCGTCCCGCATCTTGGAGCCGATGGTTTCAAACGCCCAAGCAGAGAGAGGCCGGTGGCACGCGGAGCCCGGTTTCCTCTGGCACCCCCTCGGTGCCGGGCGCCGGACCGTACGCGTGCGGGTGTGCACCTGGTCTGCATGGGCTGTTCTGACACCCGGTTCCCAGCGCTGCTGCGGCAGCCATGGGCATGAGCAGAGAGTGCCGTCCCCCGTCCTGAGCTGGTGTGGTCCTCCCCAGCTTGTCACCTGCTCTGTGTGCTGGACACGAATGTTACTCATTTCATCACAGAGGTCCCGTTCCCCAGCCCATGCTTTGTGTTAGAGGCTCCGTCCCCGTCTGTACGGTGCCCCGTTGGCGCTGGGTGTCTGTCTGGCTGCGAGAGGACCCCCGCCTCCGCCCAAGCAGCAGAGGCCCCGGGGGTCCAGGCTGGGTGCAAGGCACCGCCCCACCCTGCCTTGACAGTGGGATTTCCTTGCCCACTCTCTGGAGCAAAGAGAGTCCTGTTCCTGGTGATTGCCGAATCAGAGGACCAGGTGGGAGCCCATCATTCGTCCCAGCGGCGGTTACTGAGGGCTGGCTGTGCACTGTGTACTCTCAGGGCCCGGGGGCCGCAGAGCACTGAACAAGATGTCTGGGGCCCCCGCCGTCATGGAACTGGTGTTCTAGTGAGAGACACAGTCACCAAATTAAATGGAACACCATACCGGGTGGCTTGATAAGTGTTCTCAAAAGGCTGCCTTGGGGGTACTTGGGGCGCTCATTGGTTAAGGGTCTGTCTTCAGCTCAGGTCATGGTCCCGGGGTCTTGGGATCCAGCCCCACGTCAGGCTCCCTGGTCAGCAAAGAGTCTGCTTCTCCCTCTGCACTGCCCTCCCACCCTGGCTTGTGTTCCCTCACTCAAATAAATAAAGTCTTTTAAAAAGTAATTAAAAGGCTGGGTAAGGGTAGAATGCCATAGCCAGGGTGGTCAGGAAAGTGGTGATTAACAGAAACCAAAGCAGATGGTTCCAGGGCGGAAGTGTGTGACAGTCCAAGAGGATGGCAAATGCAAAGGTCCTGAGGTGGGAGCAGGATATGTGTGCTTGGGGAGCAATGAGGAGGCTGGCCAAGGCCTGAGCAGGGACTTGGGGGCCAAGCTGAGGCCAGAAAGTAAAATTCCATTGGTCTTTTAAACATGTCCTTGTGACTATTTTATTTTTATCTTTCAAAAGGCATCTTGAGCCCCCACAGCCCCTCAAGTTAGAGACCTGAGTCAGACTTGACCAAGAGAGATGCCATGAGGAATGAGGTCTGTGTGGGACTGGCCCCTTGTGGCACCCTGCTCCCCTGCAGGACAGAGGGACAGCCAAGGCTGCCTTGGGCCAGGAAGGCTCACCTGTCAGCTGCACTCATCCCGCAAATGCTTGAGCCAGGCCAGGCGCAGGATGCAGAGTGAGTGAGACACACGCCATCTGTCCGAGCCGCCTGCGAACTGATGGGGCCGGGACTGCCCGCTCGAGATCGAGCACAGCCCTGATATCCTCCCTCTTGCCTTCTGGGCCTGCCCTGCTGAGCTGTGGGGACAGAGGGATGCTGTGGGCAGAGGGACAGGCCTGTGAGGGTGAGTGGTGTGTGCAGCAGAGACCACTAACTACGGGCAGGTCCGGGATCTAGCCCTGCCCCGTCTTATGTCCTCAGGGAGGCCATCAACAGCATCTGGGGTCTCAGGCTGTGCTCTCTGGGAGCGTGTTTGAGAGAACAGCCACCACTGGGGGGCGGGACATGTGGACCGATCTGGAGGCTGGGGCAGGGGAGGGACTCAGCTCACTGTCGTGGTGGCCGGGGGTGACTCAGGGAGATGGGGCTCTCTTGCCCTGGGCTCTATCCATAGCCAGCGGCCTGGGCTCCTCCGCACACGGCTGCTGACAGCTGTCTGGGCTCCCAGGACTGTTTCTTTCTCTCTCTCTCTTTTTAAAAGATTTTATTTATTTATTTATTTGAGAGAGAGAGAATGAGAGAGAGCATGAGAGGGCAGAAGTTCAGAGTGAGAAACAAACTCTCCATGGAGCAGGGAGCCCGATGTGGGACTAGATCCTAGGACTCCAGGATCTTGACCTGAGCCAAAGACAGTCACTGAACCAACTGAGCCCCCTAGGCACCCATCGGGACTGTTTCTTTGTTGAATAGAGCGGCACGCGGGAGAATTTCTCTAAGGATGCGGTGCTGCTTCCCTGGACCCGGATTCTAGGAGGAGCATGTGGCAGGCGTGGGGAGACCCCGTGGAGGGGAGTGAGAGCTCTGCGCGCCATCCTGGGGAATGCCCCGGGGCTGCCCAGCCCTTTGAGAATACTCGTGGTCACGGCCACCTCCTGGGCGCCGGGCTGTCACCGCTCCTCCTTCCCACCAGGAGTCCTGGATTTTCTCAGTTCGGTTTCTGGACTGTGAGGGTGACACCAAGGATCCCAGAGGGAGGTGGGATTTTGGGACTTAGTGCCCGGAGCTGGGAAGGAAGGAAAGACAGTTGGACAG